GGCGCCCGGCGACAAGGCTCCGTGACCCGCGGAGGACCGAGGCTGGGAAGGGGGCCAGCTCCGCCCGATCGCCCGATCGCCGGCGGAGTAGGACAGACTCGCCCTCAGAAACACTCCTGGAGCGAAAAGCCGGTGTGGCTGAAACAGCACAGGTGTCGCGCAGCAGTTCGCACAACGCATGGCGCAGATCACTTAGAGGGCACCGATTGGTGAGAGGTCTGCCAGCGCGCCGCCGCCTCTGGAAAACTGGATTTCCTAGACGTGAGCGCCACAGAAGAAAACTTCCGACGACAGATGGGACAGTTGGTGACATTGGACACGGATCAAACAGTAACCAGGGAATCTAATATACCTGGTAAAATGCACACGAAAAGGATTTGATCCCGTTGAAATTCTTTTAAGGAAAAAAAAAATGGGGAAAAAAGGCAACTTATCTGCACTGTGTAGAAAACTGATGGAGGCATTAAATTGTCCTCGATGGCATTTGCCCTGAAAATACTTTCTCGAATGAAAATTCGTCAGGGTAGATATAATCCTGATTAAAATGTTCGTGTTCATAAACACAGGGTTAGTGTCCACTGGGTCAAGGTGCAAATGCCAGGAAGTCCTGCTGTGGGCCAAAGGTTAAACCTTTCCCCTCCCCAGGGTCAGCCAGGGTCCCAAGCGCGGGAGGCAGGCTCTAGACCTCTGCGGCCACGATCCCATGCTGCAGCATCTCCCCCCACTCCCCTCACGTTCTCTCGAATGGGAAGCCTGTGGCCGAAGCAGAGGGCATTCTGAGGCTGCTGTCCAAGGTCCCAGGGAGTGGTTCCCCCTGGAAAGAGCTCTGGGATACTCCCCTCTTTCCCAGCGATCCTGCAGCTCCCGGCTTCTAGGGCGCTGGCCCAGCAACCGAGGCTGTAGGATGGGGGCCTTGAGACCCGAGGGCGGGGTTCTCCTGGGCTGGGCTATGCAGGGGGCTGGCCTGAGCAGCGCTGCCTCTTTGCTAGGGGTCAGAGAGAGAACGTTGGATGCGAGGATTGGAGACATCAGAAACGCTCTTTACATTTACAGTTTAGAAAATCATCCGGGGCTTGCCGATGCCTGTGGGAAGGCAGGACAGTGGAGGAGGCCGCCCACCACCTCGGCCCCCCACACGCTTCCCGCTCCTGATGCCCCACATGTGTCTTCTCTCTGCCTCCCCGCTTCTCCTTTACTAACACAGCCGGCCACATTTTACCAGTGTGTTGGTAAGTGAGAAACAAAAAATGAAAAATAAACTTAAATGAAGAAATGCATTGTCCTGTCTTTTCACCTCTGAATCCCATGGGGCTTCGTGTCTATGGGACATTTTCCCGGTTGCTCTAGAAGCCAGGAACTTAGTACTCGGGTCCATTCCCAGGGCTCCTTACCCAGACCCTGCTGGCCTGAGGCCCTTGGCTGGGGGACGGGCTTATGCAGTGAAACCCACGTGGCAGGGATGGGGGACCAGGGCGTAAACGCTTGAGGGGGCCGGTTTGGGCATCTCCTCAGGACAGGCTTTGAACCAGTCCAGTCCACGTGTAGAGTGGAATGCTGGGATGGCGGTGAGTGTGCAGTTGTTGGATGGCCACCTGGAGGGGAGTCGTGAGGCCCTAGGCCCCTCCCGGTCCTGAGAGTCCTTCGTTCTAAGACTCAACCAGCCAAATGCTCTCAGATCCCTTTTTGCCATCTGCGTATCCCTCCGTTGTCCAGCTTCTGCTTCACAACAGCCACAGCCGCAACTCTTTTTTGCTGGAGGCCCTGGGGCCGCCGAAGCCCCTTGACCCACTTGTGCGGAGAGCTGGATGTGCCTGAGAGCGCGCCCCCGTGTGGTGGCCCTTACCCCGTGAGAGACAGGTACGGAAGGAGGCTGCAAACCAAGCTCTCCACCTTCTAGCCAGGAGCGTGGAGGTGTGGCTCACGCCCTGGCATTCACTGTGGGATTTCATCGAGGCATCTCTGCAGGAATTTGCTTGCGGCTGCACCCTTACTTTGCTTCTCCTTTCCCGTCCACTTCCCTTACTCCGACACCCCTGGGAGCACGGCCGTAGTAAATCACTCGCGCGAATCCTGGTTTTGAGGTCTGCTCAGGCGCCTGCCCTGAGACCGATGGTGTTGACAGTGGTCCTAGGGGGTGGAGTCTAAAGGGGGGATTCTGGACTTGGATCACAGGCCCATTGGAGCAAAAGTGTCCCCCCTGTGGATGCTGACCGCTGGCTGCTGCGCCAATGGACAGGACGGGATGCCAAGGGGCAGGGGGCGCCCTGGCTCATGCGGTGTCGCAAGCACGTGAGATGTGGGAGAAATGGTTATTGTGAGGACGGTGGAGCTTGCCGGTTTCGCTGAGCACAGTTTATACCATGACGAGGGAGAATGGGAGCTTCAGGTCCACAGTTACCAACTTAAGGACAGTCAGAGACCTCTGAAATAGAGACCCTGATTTCCTTCCACCAAGGGCTGACTCCCGCGGACCAGGCTCAGGGCTTGAGGCAAGAGCATAGGCCAGGACTGGCGGTATCCAGGCAATGTGCTTGAGAACTGAGACCCCACATTCCGCCAACGCTCTGAGCCCACAGAAGTGGCTCGATTTCTCTCGCTAAAAATGCCAGCTGTGCCCCGCACCCGCACCTGTCTGAAGGCCGTGCAGAGGTCTCACTGAGGCAGATGCCTTTCAGAACACTTGCCCTGCTTAAGGTCTGCTCCGCGTCTCTCCTGGCCACTAGTCCTATAACAAGAGCCGAGGTCCAGCTGGCCTGGCTGGGACATGCTGGCTCTGCCAAGGGAGGGAAGGGATTGTTATCCAAAGGAGCTGCAGGCCTGGCTAATACACATCGGCAGGCAGGACCCTGGAGAGCGTGCCTGGGAGGGGCCCGGGAGGGGCCTGGAGTGGGTGGGATAGTAGGCTGGAGAGGGAGGCTTTTTGGTCTGGGGGTGCTCCTCTATGTCCCACCGGGAATGCCCCTGCAGGGGCACCTGGAGCCGTCCTAATGCTCTGCAGTGAATGAGCAGACATCACCAGGACTGCGTCAGCAGAGCATGGAGGAAGTTATCCGAGGTCCGGAGAAAACAGATGTGTTTTACTCCGAAGAACCAGTTGTTGACCATGCTCTTGGGAGAGCCCAGAGGATGCTCCTTCCGCTAAGAGATAGGGATGAGCTGGCGAGCGGGCACCGGTCTCATCCAGGAGCTCAGTGGGGCTGTTCTCAGACCAGGGCTGACGCTGGGGGTGCTTTTGTGGAACTGGATTCCCTCGTGTCGACGGGGGTGGCGGGGTCCTGGAGTGGCAGTGGCCGGATGCAGCACTTAACCGCAAGGGCAGGGTGGGCATAATCACTGAAATGGGCAGAAAGGTTGGGGTGGTAACCGGGTCTAGGTGCTGGGTGACACGCTACGGTGTTCCCAGGGCCACCATGGATGGGCAGCCAACTAGGGCATTGCTTGACTTATATATCGGAAAAAAACAGCCCAGTGCCAGCTTCCCCAGTGGCGAGTCTTCGTTTCCTCCCCAGTTCCTACTTCTGAGCCAGCCTCGAGCCCGAGCCCACACATCACAAGAGAAGCTGGGTCCCCTGGGGGTGGGCTGTATGAAGCCACCGTTCACGGTATTTGTATGCAATGTGATCTCTTCGGTCCCTCCCCAGATCGTCCGGAGCCAGTTCCCTGAGTCACCCTCCACCAGGGAGATGGGGGTCCCCAGATCTTCTCATCATGATGCTGACCCCTCAGGGGCAAAAGTCTGAGTCACGCCATCAGACAAGCCCCCAGACCAGCAGAGATGCTGAAGGCCAAGGGATCCAGAATGATGGGCAGATGAGGAGCCTTGGCTGGGGCCTCAGGGCCAACACAGGAGCAGGGCTGAGGGGTCCCACCGGCGTGGGACTCGTGTGGGACATGGCAGACGTGGGTGGGGCAAGGCGTATCCTGGGCACCTCTCCTTGGACGGGCCCTTTTACTGATGCGTGCCCCCCTTCAGGCCTGGCTTCCCACAGCAGCACCGGCAGCTCTTCCATACTCTCAGAGAATGGGAAGTGGCTCTGGGGAGTGTGGGAGTGTGGTGACCTGTTCCCCCCATCAGGTCGGGACAAGTCTGAGGTGCCCCTGACCCTCCCACCTAACCACAAATCTGGGCAGCAGGAAAAGGAATAGCCACCGTCCAGCATGACCCCCTCCAGGACACTTGCTCCCCTACACTTTTATCTAGAATAAATGTCACGAGTCGATCCCCGGTGGAGGACATGGGGTGGCCCGGTCCAGCAGCTGGACAGCCCACCCACCTGCCCTAGCCAGAGATCCTAGGGCTCCTGCCTGCCGCCCTCACTGCAACTTCCCTGGTCCTGAGCCTCAATCCGTGTGGCCCAGAAGCCATGATCAGCTCCTTACCCACTCACAGCTCCCGGGGCTAAAGTCCAGTTTGGCTTCTGGCATCAGGAATGAGGGAATTCCGTTTGCAGAGACACATGACACCCCGTCACCCAAGCCCTCGAGGGGAAATTAGAGGGAGACGGGGCTGGACGGAGGGGAGGCAGGGCCAGCCAGGGGAGACCTGGGTTGGCGCTGAAACCCCAGGACCTGAAGGTCGGGGATGTGGGCGGGGCCAGGAGAGGCCTCCCAACTCCATGCCCCCCACCTACCCAGCAGGAACAGCTCCTCGGGGGCGTGACACGTGTGGCTGCTGGACACCGGCAGTTTTGGGTGGGATGCAGATGCAAGGTCAAATAACATTCGTTGGGTCACATGGTGTCATTGCCATTGTTATGCGGATCACAAAGTTATTGCCATTCGAGTTATATTTTCACTGTTTTTTTCCCCCTAGCATTTCCAAGTTTTACTGTCACGTGGGCTCCAGGATCTTGCAGCATCCTCCGATCCCCGGAACTTCTCTGCCTGTGGAAGCAGCTCTAGAACTCTCCATGCATTCTCCTGACCCAGGCAGGGGGCCACCTCGCCTGGAGGCACATGGGCACCAGCGGCTTGGGGCCAAGCAGGGGCCATGAGGGAATTTGCCTGGCCTCCTCCTGACTCACTGATGAACTGAGGGATGGAGAGGGAAGAGTCCAGGACCAACACCATCCACATGGCGCCTTCACACAAATTTTAAAACGTGTCCATCTTCCCAGTGGGCACGGCCCACCTGGAGGCTTTGCAGGGCGAGGTGGGCTCCCTCGCCAACCCCCGCCTCCTCCCTGCGGTTTCAGCCACATCGAGCGGTTCTTCGACTTGAGTCAACCTTCGCTGTCTTCGCTCCGACGTCCTCACTTGTTGTGTGGGGGGAGAAGCTCTGCTTCTCGGTGCTGGTCTCACGATGCTGGTCTCCCACTCCCGCCCTTCCCTGCCGGCATCGGGTCCTGCTGGGCGATGAGAAAGGAAACCGTCCAGACAAGAGCGTTAAGAAAGGAGTTTTACTCGGCAAGTTTGGTAAAGGAGTCCCGACCTCAAACGGCTGGCTCATCGAGTGAAAAAAAGTAAAAGATGCAGTGGGAATTTTATCAAAAACCCACAGTTACCAAGAATAGAACTAAACATTCATCTAATGATCATATCTGCAAGGTTTTGCAAAAAAAAAAAAATGTAGGGATAAAGTTGTTTTTGTGAGGAAGCCAGGGAAGGACTTCAGGTTTTATCTATTTTAGGGACTAGTGCCAGACAGAGGGACCCAGGCGTGAAGTCCCTCCTGTCCCTTCGTGATGTGTTAGTCACAGTAATGGCAGTAGGGCAGGCTGTCATTTCGCTTTCTTAGCCACTAGATACATATCTCTTTGGGCGGACTGACTCTTGGGTTATATTTGCGCCACATCGGGGGGCTGGCTAGCTAAGCCCAGAATTCTCCAGTAAAATGGTGAATCTCCAGGGAATGAGATAAAGTCGAACCTATAAAACACCTATATTATTGGTCCACCTCCTAAGGAGGCCTCTGACCGGAGGGCAGCGACACCTTGGTCCGTGTAAACTGTTGCTTAGGTGGACTGACAATTACTTACCACCTAACTCAATCCTGATACACCTCCCAAATTCAGCTGGGGAAGTTATTTGAAAACACTTCCATAAAAATAAGATGTAAGGAATCGAATGGTCTCCCCAAAAGTCATATACTTTTGCATTAATACAAGATTCACGTCACCGTTATGTATCTATAAACAGTTTTGCCAGCGGCCTCGTTTCTGCTCCGCCCTCTGGTGGATGCTGGTGGCGAGGGGGCCGTCAGCCCACCCACGGCAGTGATGAGGATCATGAAGCCCATTCTGTGTGTTAGCCTTCCTGTGGCTCTCCAGCAGGGTCACAGGGACGTGGGAGGTACAGGGCCTCTGGGTGCATGTGGGATTCTGTGAGGTTCAGGACGTACACGCTTCGGGCCAACCGTCCCTCTGCCCAGGACGACCTGCAGGTGTGTGCCACCTTCGGGGACTGGTCCCCTGGCAAGACAGGGCTCACTCCTACTAAGCTCTCAGCTGTCTCCTCCTGTAGGACGCCCTCCTGGGCTGTCACACTGGGAGCTGGCAGGGAACCTGGCACAGAGGGCCGATGACCGATGTCCCCACCCAGCCCCCATGCGCCCAGCATGCTGAGAGAGAGGAAGTGCCACCGTTAAAGGGAACCAGAGCTAGGCAGTAGTTAAAGTGGTAAAAACAGATTTTATTCAGGACCTAAAGTTAAAGTGGTAAAAATAGATTTTATTCAGGACCTAATGCAATCGGGGAAAAGAGACCTCAGAATAGAACCGGACCCAATTCTGAATACAGCAAGGACAAGTGGGGACTCATAGCCTAGGAGCGTGGGACGGGGGGAGTCGGTGGACGGAAAACTACTAAGAGGAGAGAACCAGCAGTGGGGGCGGGTTCTGGTCAAACGGCCCCGACAGGATTCTTGCTGAAGGCAGGCTGGGCGATCGGACACCACCTGGGAGATAGTGGGGTGAGCACTTCAGTCTGAAGGTGATCAGATATCCAGATAAACTGACTTGATAAACTGACTTGACAGGATTTTTGCTAAAAGTGGGTGATGCCAAGATAGTCACGGAGGCCCAGAAGTGGAGGCTTACTTCATATGAGGCTCAGACTACGAGTTTGGTCAAGGAGAGAATCTGTCATCCCCCACCCATGCCTCCTTTGTCCGCAGCCCAGACCCCGCCCCTGCTTGGTCCTTTCTGCCTCATTGCAGAGGCCTGGACTTGACCCTCTGTCCCTGTTTGGTGGACACTTCTGTCATCTCTGTCTGCAGCATCTCTGTCTGCTCTCTGGCAGCCCGGGCCTCGCCTTCTCCCCAGCCTGCACTGCTGGGCAGGAGGCTCGGAGGGCTGGGTCGGGGGGCAGGCTTGGGCAAGGAGGGGCGCGGGCTGGTCGAGGAGGGGCAAGGGTGATGGGCAGAGTGCTTTGCAGCGGTGTGAAAGTTTGCAGAACAGAGCGTGTTCCCAAGGGGTCCGATTCCCAAAAAAATAGCAATTCTGTCCCCTTGTGCTATTGGCTGAATGTTTGTGTCCCCCTCAAAGCCCTATGTTGAAATCCTATCCCCCACCGGGATGGTATTAGGAGGTGGGGCTTCTGGGAGGTGATTAGGTCCTGAGGGTGGAGCCCTCAAGAATGGGATTAGTGCCCTTATAAAAGGACCCCAGGGAGCTCCCTAATCCCTTCCACTGAAGAAGGACACAGCGAAAGGTGCCAGCTGTGAGCTAGGAAGCGGTCCACACCAGACGCCGAATCCGCCTACACCTTGGACTTCCTAGCCTCTAGAGCTGAGAGATAAAGGTCCGTAGTTTAAGCTGCCCTGGCTATGCTATCTTTGTGACAATAGCCTGAATGGACTGACACTTCATCATCTCGAAGCCTTGTCACTTTCCACCTGGGGTACCTCAACAGCCTTTGGACAGCTCCCTGTCATGCACCTGGACCCCTGCAATCTTGGTGAATCATGACTCACCCCTACCTGATGCCTCTGGTAACTGTCTGCTGCCATGGGGCCCCCTGTGAGGCTCCAGCCACCGGATGGCCCCGTCCCCGCGGGCCTGCCCCAAGCTCCCCACCTCCAGGCTTGGCTGAAATGCCACCTGCCCCGTGAAAGTGTAGGGTCTTTCTCGTCTCTGCTTCCCTCAGCCCCTGGCCCACGCCTCTCAGTTTGCACCTTCCAGTAAGGGCTCCCCCTCCTCTGGGTATGGAGGCCCTGCATCCCTCACTGCTGTCCCACCCCAGGCCAGCCCAGGCGCCATGGTGCAGATGCTCAAGCTAGCCTTGTGGCTGAGAGGAGCTCCTGCTCCCCCATCCGCTGCCCAGCCTACTGCTGCCAACCCCTCCCAGCGCCCTTAAGGGAGAAGAGCTCCTGGCAGGCCAGTCGCTGGTTGGGCTGAGCAGCAGTGTCCAGTTGGGGGCTTTGTTTTTCTTGTTCTTGCTGCTTCTCGCTGTCTTAGGGTGCACAGGCCCTGGCGTACACTGCCAGCCACCTCTCTCCTCTCTCTCTCTGCTTGCAAGCAGCTGGGTAGAGGGTGGACCAGCCCGATGCAGGGCTGCCCTCGGTCCCCCTCTCCTGAGCTTATGTTGGCAGAGGCCTCGAGTGGGGCTGGGTCCCTTCCTTTGATGTTCCTGGGTTTCCAGTGCATCGGCTGCCCCTGGAAGAGGCAGGCGATTGGCAGAACTCGGGTGTCTAGATCCCAGCGCATCACATCCCCAAAACATCAGCCCCCCTCTCGATTCCCATGATTCATCCTCTAGACGACTGACCCGTTGACATTTATAATTGTTATCATAGGGCTCTGTTTCATTTTGAGTTCAAAAAGTCCCCCACCCCAAGTCAATTCAGATGGCCCTAAATGGTGTCTTCCTGTGGGTGGGGTCGGCATGCCCTGCTAACTAATCTCCCCCACAGCCCTGGGACCCCCATCGGCTTTCACGCCTCATAGCCTTTCTGCCCCCAACGAGTTCTCACGGCCTCTACACGTGCTTCTTAGGGCCTGCTGAGCCACGGAGCTCCATGTGAAGGCTCCGACTCCCTGCCCAGTGTAAACCTGTGAACACGCACCGGGATCAAGAATTCCCACTGAGAGGGAGGAGAAGCAGGAATCGAGCTGGGAGACTCGGAGAGAGCAAGGGTGCCACTAAGGACCTAGGAACCCACAGGGAGGGGTGGCCAGAGAGGGCCAGTGGGCAGGACTTGGCTGGGACTGCGAGATTCATGAAGCCGGAGCAGTGGGGCCACGAGGTGCTTTCAGAACGTTACTGCAAGACAGAAGGGGAGGCGGAAGCTTCCCTGACCTGTGCCCCGCAAACCATGGGCTCTGCGTGGGCAGAACTGATTTCCTCCATCTTTTTACAAGAGACTCTCAATTTTTAAGTGTTGGTTATTAATTTTAAGACCTTTAAAAAACACCAGAAGCCAAACACAATCATTATGAGATTCAGCTGGAGGGCAGGCAGCTGGGGCTTTGGGCTTTGGGCAGGGCCTGCAACCACCCTGTGGGACAGAGGGTTTGAGCCTTCGTGGGCCAGAGGTTCTAGAGCAAAAAGCTGTTATGTCAGGCAGGTGTGAACCTGCTCTGCCTTGAGGGTCCAAAGACACTATAGAAAATATAAGAATGGTGCCAGTGGGAAGAGCAGAGCCACACCATTGCCGACTGGGGCTGCAGCCAGGCTGACAGGGGTCCCATCTTCTGTGGGAGCAAGAGCTCACCATCAGACCCCAGCTGCATAACTGGTGTGTGCGTGTGTGCGTGTGTGTGTGAATGCAGACAGGTTTTGGGGAGGACAGGAGGTGGCCTGAGTCCACCGACCTCACCCTCTCACAGTCCCTGTGATCACCTATTGCTTCTGCCTTCTGCTTGGAGGACCCTAACCTTCCCACAAATGAGCTCTCCCCATGGACCTGATGAAGGGTCCCTTACCAGAGGCCCATATTGGATTTATTCAGCTGCCCCAGCCCCCTGGCCCTGAGCAATTGTCCTCATCCCTTCTGGGTAACCTACCCCCACCCCCACCCTCAGTTTACCTATCCTGGCACTAGTGGCCCGAAGCTATGCTGGTGGGCTGTGGGCACCCAGCCAACCTTCTAGAGTCCCGATCCTTCATCACCGGCAAAGTACAGCCATTGCCCACGACCATGTCCAGATCTGACTGCAAGCAGACCGGAGAGACAGCTCCACAAGTCCCTCCTCCCTTCCCCTCCCCACTCCCATAGTGGTCATCACCTCCCTTCACTATCTTGGGGGCCTGGGGAGGGTCCTGAGGCCGGGGTGGGTCTAGCGCAGGTCTGGCACTGGGTAGGGTCCCCGAGCCACGGTTGAACGATGAAGCCCGGATGGTTTGGAAAGGAGGTGGGCTCGGAGCCACGGGACCTAGCATCCAGGGGCAGGGCGGGGCCGCTGGGGTCTCGAGGTCAAGGGACAGGAGATTGGGGGGTTGGGGGGGCCAGAG